ACACACACACACACACACACACACACACACACACACACACACACACAAAGAACACTTAGGAACCAACCATGAAAGCAAAGGGAGCCCATGGCAGCCAGGATGAACACAGGCCACATGTGAATTCCTGCGCTGGTGGCCTCTCCTCCCCTTGGCAGAGTCTCTGCTCCAGTCAGGCAGGGTTGGAAAGTGAGTGTCCGAGGGCCAGGAAACATCTGGAGCCCAGCATTTCCCAGCATTGAGATGCTCAAGGCAGGCGGGATGCAAAGGCCAGGAGGCCTTCCCTTGCTGGCTCAGAGGGTTCTGCAGGGCTAGGGGTGGTGTGTGTGTGTATGTATCTCTCTCCCTCTGTCTCTAGATCTCTCTTCCTTTCTCTCCCCCCCTTCTCTCCCTCCCCCTTTTCCTTCACTTCATTACCCCGGGGCACTAAAATTCAGAGCACAGTGATGGCCCTTTCCATCTTCATCAGAACAGAAACACGTAGGATTATTACAGGCACTGGGTTAGAAAGAATAATGCATTTTAAAGCAATACCAACCAAACCGCCAAAGGGACCTTTTGCAGAACTGGATACAAGAACAAGGTTCATTTGGAGAAACACAAGACCTAGAACGGCAATCATGTCGCTCATGAAACAAAAGGTTGGACAGAGGGAGGAAACAGTGGTAGGAGACCTCGGACCACATGAGATGGCTGCTGTCATCAAAATCATTTGGTATTGGTTTAAAAAATAATGAGAAGATAGAGCAAAGGAAAAGATTGGGCATGGAAGAGCCAGAAACCAAGGAAGCCATTAACCTAGTGATCAATAATCTGGAAACATGAATGACTTAGGGAAGAACTCCCTAACTAGTGTAAGAGCTTGTGGGCAGACTGGGAACAGGCTGGCAGAAATCAGGCTTAGACCAGCATCTTATACCACACTCCACAATGTGTTCAGCAAGGAAACATGGCCTGAATATTAAAGACCACATCACAAACAGATGAGAATAGTTAATACTGGAAGAGTTGTGGAAAGATAGGCAGACTAATACATTATTGGCGGAGCTGCAAAGTAGTACAACCATTCTGGAAATTGAGATTATGCGAATAAAGTACATAAAATATCTACACTTTTTGACCCAGAGACTCCACTGGTGAGGGGACTCCACCTGAGGGGATCACTGAAGAAAACGAAAGCTCCATATACAAGTAATTTCTTTACTTGTATTATATATATAATACAAGCATTTCTTGCAGTGGCTGAATTGCCCAGGTTGATGTGTCTGCTGCCTGAGGAGTGAGCAGGAGCTCACCAGCCAACCTGGGCTCCACAGCCTGATTCATCTCAGCAGTAGTGGACAGGGGACATCCCTTTGCATTTACCAAATGATTTTTGGCCATTGTGCTGAATACCAATGGTTATGCTGTGCTGATCCCAAAGCTGCACCTTGTCACAAAAGCCCATCTTCATAACCCCTCAATTCTCCCACTGATGCTACATGACCCTGAGTCACAGAACACCCAAAGACAGTGGGAGAACCCCAGTCACAGGGGCCATAAAGCACACCAGAGTGAGACGCATGAGCCCCAAGCCGGCTGTGGAAGGTGGCCCAGGAGGACCGGAACAGAAGAAAGAGCCCCGGACTCAGAGCATCCCAAGCTCATGTGGCTACTCTGTCCCTCCACCCCTCCACAATAGGTTAAGTGACAACCATGTACTGGGAAAGTCTCTAAGACCATGAGCTACAGAGCTTTTCAGACCTGCTCTGGAACAGAGGACTTCCTCACCAGCATCAAATCTCAGCCAAAAGCAAACTGTGCTACACCAGGTGCTGGGTCAGTGGGAGCATGGACGCTGACAGATGAAGAGCCAGGCGCCACACCCTCACACGTGCAGTAGAGGAAGGGCCAGAGAAAGCCGCCAGGATGCTGATGCTGATGGGATAGTCTGCTCAGCCAGCCTCGATCAACCATGGCCCAAAGTCCTGGAATCGAAAGACCAAAGCAGAGCAGGCCTGCCCTCCAGGCGCTCCCATTCTGCTGGAGGACCCAAGAAAGATGCATGGGAGGACGGGAAGATGCTGCTCGGCTGGAGCCACCCTGTTTTGGGTGGAATACCCACAGCAGTGAGCCCCAGACACACCAAAATGAGACTTCCCCCAGTGAAGGCAAGGAACAGCGTGACACGTTAGGCCCATTTTTATCCCAAAGGATTTTTTAAAAGTTAGGAACTTAAGGGATAATGTCTTATCTGGACATTTTACTTACAGGGAGTTGTGCCTTCCCCAATAAGCTGGATGAGTCAGGGCTCCTGCACTGGACCCACAAAATGAGTAACTCTTAATGATCTCCGCCGTCCTGCTGTTCCTGCCCGGTGGGCCAGCTCTGACGTTTCATTGCAGTGTGGACAGGCCCAAGGCTCCAAAAGGCTCTGACAGCCTCATTAAGCCAGAGAGGCTTCAAGTGCAGCCCAGAGGCAGACCGTGCTGGCCGCGGGCTAGTCAAGGACCCAGCCTGGCAGAGTAGAGCACTCCTCACCAAAAGGTGGGACAAGAAGCAGTGGGTTAACCTCAGGCCGCAGCACCTGCCATAGTGTGGAGCAGCTGGGACACGGCGAAGTTACTAAAGACATAGCTCAAACCCACCTTGAAAGCCACAGTCAGAGACCAGGCTCCCTTGCTCCAGGAGAACAAGGAAAAGTGACAGAAAATTGTTGGTGCCAAATGTACTATGGACTGCCACTCCTGAAAGGATCCTTGTGATATCCTTACCTTCCTACTCTTAAGATTCGCACTCTTGACTAGGTTGAGCTGAGCCACACCCGAGGTCCTCCCACCCAGGGATGCTGCCATGTGGGGAGCCCAGCTCAAGCTGGATCTCAGCTTCTTGCGTCCCTGCACCCTCACATTGGGATTCATGCCACAAAGGGCAGAGCAGCCAGAATGGAGCGGCTTTCCTTGTCCAGATTGCCAAGGGCTGCTGGGGTCTCATGACGAGGACTTGATATCTCATACTCTCTTCTCTCCCCCTCTCCTCCAAGAGGTATGAGAAGCCTTTGCATGGGTCTTGGAGTTGGGAAATCCATTGGACATCCCCCAGGTGGCAGGTTTGCTCCCTTGTGATCTCAAGATGCGTTGATTTGCTTCAGGACTTGACAACATGGTAAGTTCTGCAGAAGGCAGCGAGGGGTTGAGATCTGCACTCTAGGCCTGTGAGATCTCTTCTAGATCAATACCTAAGCTCCAATGGGCCAACAGCCTCAGGAAGGCAGGAAAAACTGAGCAAGAGGCATCCCTGAAGTTGAGGTCAGCCCACAACGCCCAAGTGAGCGGGTGGCCACGGGAGCTGGCAGCCCCATGAGGCTGTGGGCAGGCACTAGCAGGGACTGGCCCCTGAGGGAGCCCATAAGGGCACGAGTCACGTGGCAGAACAACGTTGAGGATTTGGGGAGAGCTCAGATCTAGGACACTGCCATCAGCAGAAAAGTGCTGGGCCCAAAGACAGGAAGACCTGAGTTCAAATCTGACCTCAGGTACTTAATAGACTCTGCTCCAGTTCCCTCAACTATAAAGTAGGGAGGGTAGTAACTACCCTTCATTATCTCATCTGTGAAATGGGGGTGGTAATAAGAGCCCTCACCTCCCAGGATTGCTGTGACAATATTGTTAAGTGCTTAGCATGTGCCTGGAACGCAGTAGGTGCTTAATAAATGCTTG